GAATGTTCCTTGTTTTTACTTAAATTACTTTGCTCACAATTTCTGTTAAGAGAAAACTGATATACAATGAAAATTTAGAAATGTTCAGAATTTAGATTTAAATTATTTAAATATCAATATGAGTGGAAAAATAAATTGTATTTATATTAGGTTCCAAACGAATACAATAAATATGCCTTATTATTATTTATTTTCTCTATTTTGAACTGAAATTTCATCATTAAATCTTGTAATATAGTTTAGTTCTTCATAGTTTTTTTTTCTCTCATTGTAAACTAGTTCTGTAAATTGAACTATTATTTAAAATTAAAAAAAAAGTAATTATTTTCCATGGTTGAGGTAATACTTATTCTCTCTTAATAAGTACTTCATTTCTCATATTTTAAATTACAATTCTAATTTTTAAGGTTATGCAGTTGTGTATGATGTAATTAGACAGGTGCTTAATTTTTTTTCTTAAAATGTGCTTGAAAAGTGCTTATAGGTGCTTATTTTTGTAACTAAAATGTGGCTATGAACCCTGTCTACGCTTTGGATTGCGTTCTATTTAATGCTTTAGTAGTTTAAAATATAGCTACTGACTCTATTGCATGATATTGTGATATTATATGAATATCTTTGAGGGAAAATCCAGTGTTTTGTTATATTTCTTGTGATAAGAATAAATTTATAAACTCTTTATTGGACTTGTGCATTCAATCTGAATCCGTATGCATGCAACACTTTTTGGTGTCAAAAGTGGGAGGTAATGATACAGCACTGGATTTCCAGGTTCAGAGTGCCTCTTCAGTTACTTTCTGATCAGGAAAGGAATTTTACTTCGGCTGTAATTAAAGAACTCTGCAAGCTACTCAGCATTGAAAAAACCCAAACGACACCTTTACATCCTCAGTTAGACGGCATGGTAGAGAGGTTTAATTGAACCATCCTTAATAACCTCTCATTGGTAGTTTCCAGAAACCAGCAGGACTGGGACAAGAAGTTACCACTGTTTTTACTGGCTTACCGCAGTGCTGTTAACAAGATTACTGGCTATTCCTCATCTCAGATGCTCTTTGGTCGTGACTATCGTCTGCCTTGTGATCTCTTGTTTTGTCACTTTCCAGATGCGCTTTCATTGCTTAAGGGGAATACATCCAAGATCTCCAGGTCCAGTATGAAGTGATGCATAATTTTGCATGTGCACAAGTCAGCTCGCACTTGAAACTACTAAAACGTTAAATAGAATGGATTGCGTTCTGTTTAATGTTTTATTAGTTTAAAATGTAGCTACTGATTATATTGCGATATTGTACGAATATCTTTGAGGAAAAATCCAGCGTTTTGTTACATTTCTTGCGATCATTCAATTTATTACGAACCCTTATGCACGCAACAGTATTGAAAAAAGTTGTTATATTACATTAAGTTTAAATCATGACGTCATATGTATTAAGAATTTTTGTTTCCTGGTTTGGCAACAAAATATTTATTTACGAATTGGTTGTTGCTTGGAAAGAATGAGCTGATTTCATCGAACCTGAATTTTTTTAATACATTTTCTTTTTGGATGTACATAGAACTTATGAACTTTGCTTTGACCGCATCCCGCTCAACTGGGGGCTTGCCCACTAGTAATATGTATATCTTTGATATTATATAATGTAGAGTTGAATTATGCTGCTAGTATAAAAGAGTATGAAGTATTTTGTCATGTAAACTTATCCTGAAGTTTTAAATGCATAATTACCGTATTTGACGGCATATAAGATGCACTTTTTTCCTAAATTTAGTCTAAAAAAAAGTTACCTGCGTCTTCTACGTGAAGGACACAGATTAACTTTCAATACTGAATGCTATTTTTAGCCCGGATTAAGGTCTAGACACACATAACGTTTTCTACATCTACATGTGTGTGGCCTTCTAAATAAGGGTGCATCTTATATGCCGTCAGATACGATATTTCTGTATAATTTCAAAATAGCCCTTTAGGCTTGGGAGGCTGAATTTTGTAGGCATGTATTAATGCTATAGAATTCGGAAGTCTGCTATGGAGGCGGGGAGACATTTCTGTTACCTCTAATATTATATTACCTACAACAGCTTATTGTGCGAAAATACTAGGCATGATTATATTATTTTTTTTTTATAATTGTTTTGTAATTATATATATATATTCAAATTAAGTAATTAAAAGTAAATTAAAAAGCCTATGACTTGCGCTAAGCTGCAAAGTAATAAATCAGTAATTCATAATAATTTACAATAAGTAAACTTTCCATATACCATCTCCAAGGGAGGTAAATTCAATTTAAAATCATGAATTTTTTTTTTTAAAGGTTAGAATTTAAATAAGTAATAGTAATTTCAATCTCGTTGTTTAAAAACATGAAAATCTGCTAAGAAAAATCTTTAATCATAAAAATGCCAAAAAGAAAATAAAAAATTTTAAGTGTTGAGAAAGTAGCTGTAGTCATTGATTGCAGATTAATCAACCTATCAAGGGGATAAACCAATCTACCATCAATAAAATGAATAGAGAGCATTTCATCTTACTTCCAAATAAACATCAAATTATTTGCTAGATCCAAACCATAAGTCATAATTAATACTCAAACCAAATATAGACATTAATAATTTAAGCCAAAAGAATCCTGTTAACACTTTGACGCGTGCGATATTATTTTTATAATTTTTTAACTAAAAACTCTAGAAATTGAATATTATGATAGTAGAGACAAATAATATATGAATTAAAAAAAATCTACTCATGCCCATTGTTCTGTAGGTGATGGTCGCACTGTGAAACCACCGCGCGTCTAGGAACTTTGAAACTTACTGAGGTAGTAGGGAAAAAAGACTTGCCATTATCCGTGCATATTTCCAATAAATGACGAAATTTTACGAATTTTTAAAAATGTATGTAAGAATTGCATTATATATAATTTTTTTACATTATTTTACAAAGTAAATCGTCAGAAAAAATTAAGAAATAAACATTTATGTAATTTTTCTTTGGCAGTGAAAATATAAATGCCTACATAATAAGGACGTTCAGCTAAATGGATTAAAAAAACTCAGTAAAATAAGGATAAAAAAAAAAGACTCAGTGATCCCCCCCCCAAATTTCAAAGATTTTTTTTTTTTTTTTTTTTTTTTAAATACTGTTTAAAGCAAGTTTTGTTTTTTTTGGTACATGCATAGTCCCACATTGCACATTTCGCACATGTATCTTCTATGAGGTTTCTTCCTTGTGCTACAAAATGTACACTGCCTGGATCTAAATTTCACTGGTATATGTCCAGCATTATTTAGTTTCTTTTCATCTGGCACATGAAATATGTTTTTTTTTTTTTTTTTTTTTTTTTTTTTTTTTTTTTTGTTAATGGGGGGTGAGGGGCTTGGTATTTTTGACTTTGGTATGGATCATTCGTTTCCCATTCATACTTATTTGTATTTCGTCCCAAAATATTCAGAAAATATTTTTAATTTAAATAAAACTTTAAGCAAATTCTATTTTTAATTGTAGCAAAGTATATTTACATTAAATTTAAACTACAGGAAGTAATTTATAAAATCGCAATACTAGCTTGGGGAGCAAGTGTGTTGAGGTCAAAGAAAAGTCTTTGGAAAAGAAAGACCTTTTTTACTGGGCAGGTGCATGTATTGTTTAGTAATAAAATAACTCTGTAGTTTCAAAACCCCTTATCTATATCTGGGTAAAAATAAACATTCCTATTTGAGAAGCAAGCAAACGCCATTGTAAAGAGCAGTGGTTTCAAGGTGCGATCACCAAGCCTGTAGAGCATTGTGATACAGTGTTCTAGTGGGGCAGTGGTTAGGCCTTGAAACCGCAAAGCAAATGCCATCATATAGAAGTTTTTTTTTTTTTTAATATATATATATGCAGTTTAATTATTGCTATTTTTTATTGTTTATGATAAAAATCATGATGTGCGATGAATAACTTTTGAAATTTAAAGTTGTTTATATTAATAAAAGTTATTTTGTCTCATTGAAAGCGAATTTTAAAAGGCATCCGATTTGAAGTACTAAGACCTAAAACATGTATGATTCTGAAGTCATTTTGTGTTATTTAGAGGTAAAAAAATCACTAATCGATCGATGTTCTCTTAAAAATTTCGGAAAGAAGAGGAGAAAAAAAATTCGAAAACTGGCAGTTTCAGGGTGCGTACACCACGCATCAAAGGGTTAAACAAGATAGCAAATAATAATAAAATTAAAGTTTCTTTTTAAAAACACAATTAATCTGAACGAGATGCTTACTTTAGAAGACCCCTACACTCTCATTTTAAAACTTAAAAACAGAAGTAAACATATTAGAACATTAAAAATTAATTCAAAATCAAAAGAAGATAAAAAAAATGATACAATTAAAATTAAAGTTTAAAACAAGTAGTTAATTAAAAATTTAAAGATCAAACTAGTTAGTTAAAATTAACAAACTTGCCTTGAAAATTTTAAAACTAAATGGCTGGAAATGCAAGTATTAAGTGATGGAGGTAAAAGGGTTGTCGTAAAGTGCAGTTTTCTATTTAAGAAAATTTAGCCTAAATTGGTGAGAAAAATTGGAATTCTTTAAAATCCCGGAGCATGCATCTTCATAGGAGGCAAAGGCGGCAGATCTAGGACTTTTCGCCGTCGCCATTTCACCGTGGCTGTTTCGTCGTCAGAACGTTTCACAGTCAAGATATATTTTTCTTTATATACCTGTATTATAGAAGAGAGAAATATAGAAAGAATTTTAAGGAAGATTTTAAAAGGAACTATTCAAATCTAAAAGAATATGCAGATACAATAATGAATAATATATTGGTATATTTATTTCCAATTTAATTTGGTCAGTTGATATATATTATAAATCATGAATGTTAAGATGTTTGTTCCATTAGAAATTAAGATTTTGTTTGTTTTGAGTTGTTTTTTCATATTGTCAAAATTATATCCTTATTGTTTATGATTAGAATTATTTTAAACATTTTAAATGTTCTTTTTGTTAGATTATTAGGCTGGAGTATTATTTCACTATTTAAGGAGACCAGTGCTGGAAAACAAAATTCTAATAAGGAATTTCATCGGTCTACTTTAGTTTCTAATCTGAAAGTTTTATCGGTGTTATCTTTTGATCCACGTAAGTTGAATTTATTGTTAGTTTTTCTCTTTCATTTTATGATTATTATTTTTCTTTCTCTGAAATTAATTTAAATAGTATTTAGTGATTATAAAATGAAGGTTATATTAAATTTGATAATTGAAAAATAAAAATGAGATTATTTTTTAACCGCTTAAGAACCAGCATGCAGAGAACAAAGCACAGTCACAGGACCGGACACGCTGAAATGGATCGTCGCCACCGGCCTGCACATTTTCAGCAGTTAAGCCTAATTTCACACACACAAAGAAAAATCTTATAAAATTAGTATTTTGATATAATGACTTCAATTTTTGAAGTTGCGTATTTAATGTACTTGCTTTTAATGTGTATTAATATGAAGAATATCACATTAATAGAACAAAATTAAACAAGCAAATTACTAAAATCATAACTATACACACAGAAATAAATATTATAAACATCAAACCAAAATTACAAATAAGGAATTAAAAAAAATATATGTGAAGAATTACTTGTAGGTAATTAAATTCCAATTTAAAAATTCAGCTGTGTGTGAAATAATTCAAAACAAGGATTGACACACAGTCCTACATTGCATATTTTGAACTCAAAATGCATTGTTTGCTTTCGCTTTTCCTTGGTTTTAGTGCTGTTGGTTGTGCATTAGCACTGAAGGCGTAATGAATACGTTTCCTCAAGCACAGCTTTCATTAAACAATCATAAGTCAAAAGGTTAACTACGAAATCTTTATTTAATAAAATAGGATAATTCTGCTTAACTTAAGCATAACAAAAGTAATAATCTTCACGGACATTAAAACACTGAAGTATTGAAAAGAATAACTTACAGAGAATCATCAGTCCTAAATCATCAGGCTTACCTATTTTAGGCAATAAGAAAAAAGAAACAACAGGAACATACTTTAACACCGTACCTGAAAAAAGAAAGTACTACTGGATTAGACCTTTGGCCAGGTACAAGTAGCTAGGGTGAAAATCAAATATACTGCATTGTACACGAACTTTACTTTCTCTCGCCAATATATATCTTGGCGCACGTTCGTTTCGTATGCCTTTCGAGTTTCATTATGCAAAATACCTAAATTTATGCTAACAAGCGCACGTAGCGCATTTTTTCCTACCTTTATTACCTTTTCCATCAACATAAATTTTCAGAGAATGTCTTCCAGATAGACAAAAATGTGGAGTGCCCTGTGATTTTGAACAAATCTTTAAGTTTTTAAGTAAAATTTCTTAGCCATGGCTAATGGAATGAAACTGAATATAACCCTAACACATGTCCCAAAACTTCTTCAAAAGACATCCAGAAATATTTCACCCTCAAACCTTGTCTGACATCAGGTTTATGAAAGCTTCCTGTTTTTCTAGATCGAAAAACAGTGTCCACCACATGACTGGAAAGTGATCAAGAAAAGACCCCCATTGGCAGGATATCCGTTATTGATCACGTCAATATATGCATTATATATAATTACATTATATGTAAAGTAAATACATTATACACCAAAATATAATGCCTGGGTCATTATATATAATCACCATTCAAGGCATTGTATATAATGACCTAGTAAATTGAGTAAGAAAAACAAAAACGAGAGAACTTTCCTGAGAAATCTGAGCGAGTAAGACACATTATGCGTCGAGAAAGCAGATGGTTTTTCCCCTTCTGTAATAATGTTGTAATGTTGCTTTTTAATTAATCAAGAAAGCTTATGTTAAGTTTCAAAATAAATGGGTTGAGTTTTTCCATCATGGAAGTTCGATGATGTTACATCTGCTATAGTCAGCTGAATGCACTTTCCTAACAAAAAAGGCAAATACATAAACGAAAACAAGGAGCTGGATGCACTTACCCACATTCTAATAATGAAGAAAGCAAAGAACAAAAGTGAAAAAAAATTCCTAACGAAATAAACAAAAACGCCTATGCCCCTTTAATTCAGAGATTAAACTTATAATAAAAGAGAACTTATAAAGAGCCATAATTCCCATTTTGTTTATACCAATAAATCTATCAAAACCAGAAACACAGAACAGAAACTAATGCCAGTACCTGAAGGTCAAATGCCATATGAATTAATCCATGTGAAAACAGCTCCATCTAATGCCTTTTAAAAATTCAAATAAATCATTCCATTTTCAAGTTACGTATACACGGCGCTGGGCTCCAGAAATCGATCGCAGCTCTTTGCGTATGTGTGACATTGGGAGGAGTGGAATCATTGCATCGCACATATGCGGCACTGTTCTTGAACAGGTCAAAAGTATGCATTGTAAAAAGTCATTTATCATCTATCTGGCTAAGCAAATTATTTTTAGTGCTGCATTTTACACTATTTCATCTGAAATTATTATACCAATTGCCAGGAGCATAACAGTCCAACTGTGTACGTATTGGTACTCATGCAATAATTTGTGACCCAAAGAAAAAACTCTGCCACTGATGAAATCTAAAAAAGTGTGATGTGTACTCTTTGCAACCACACTAGTGTAGGATCGGTACTTACTGTTTAGGAATATGATGTCTGTAAACTTACTTCCGATGTGGCTGTCTAGGGGTTTGAAATGACTAATCCGACTTATGAATAACTCGAATATGTAATGAAACATGAATAGTTGCTACAAACTACAAAATGATTACATGTATACAAGGAAATAGATGAGATTATTTACAGATGAAGAGAATTAATCGCATCATCGTCTAAATGGCTGAATCGTCTGACTTCTAGCATTGGGCAAGTAAAAGATCTATTTTCACAGCTTCTTGCATTATCCGATTATAATGAACGGTGCCATCTTACAACTGCTTGTCCATCCTGATGGAATGCGGCCTTGCATTCTGGTAGTAAGACCATCAACATCTGGGGATCTGAAAAATAAAATTAAAAAAAAAAGAGAAGAATTTTAGTTTGTATTGCGTGAAAAGTCATCTTAAATGGTTTGTTTCAGCCATCTTCTGTCATCATCTTAACATATTCAGAAATAACGACTTTATCTCTTCTCCAATGCACTTTCAGTGTTCGTTCATCTTTAATCTATCTGAATACATGCATTTCACAAAGATGTCTTCTTCGATGTTGTAGGGTACAATCTGTCTGGATTCGTCTTCTGAAACATCGTCTGAATACATCTTTAGAATGTGTCTTCGATATCTTCAAGATCCATCATTTGAATGCATCTTCTCAAAATTGTCTTCTTTAAGCCATCTTTTTTCATACATTTCATCCTTAGACATCATCTTCGGGCTTCTTAAATTAGTTTACGTCTTTAAAATAATAGTCCATTAGTCAAATTGAGAAAAGTCTATAATCAGGAATCATCAAAATTGGTATTGCATTATCAAAGATCGTCTGTCCATGGTTTCAGGTATTCAGCACAAGTACGAGGGGTGATCCAAAAAAAAAGTTTACAAGGCAAATGAAAACGTATTTATTAACAATAGAAACCAGATACAAATGGGAATCAAGAGAAACATCTGGCCTTCACTTTTCCACATAGTCGCGAAACCTGTTTAGGCATTTATCAGAACGTTCGACCAACTTGTGTATCCCGCCTTGGCAGTAAACAGGGCCCTGCTCATTGAGCCATTTCTCGGCAGCTGTTTTCACTGCATCGTCTGAGGTGAACCATTAAGTAACGCTTCAATGCTGGAAAAATGAAATAGTCACTTGGAGCCAAATCGAGGCTGTATGGGGGGTGATTCCAGACCTCCCACTTGAACCTTTGCAGCAATTCGTGAGTCTGGCGAGCTGTATGGGGCCTGGCATTGTCATCCAGAAGAATGACGCCTTTGCTCAGTAATCCAGGCCATTTGCGTCGGATGGCTTTACGCAATTTCGTTAAGGTGGCACAATAACGATCGGCCTTAATGGTATGGCCACGCTCCAAATACTCGATTTGGATAACACCAGTTGTATCCCAGAAAACAATTGCCATCTCTTTACCGGCAGAGGATGTGACCTAAAACTTATTCCTCGTTGGTGATCCAGCGTGTTTCCACTCCATTGTGGCTCTTTTGTTTGGAAGTGGGGGTGAAGTGATGAAGCCATGTTTCATCACCAGTAACGATGCGATCAATGAAGTGTTGGCTGTTTGAATGGTATCGCTGAAGAAATGTGAGGCTGCACATCATTCGAGTGGCCTTATGCTCCACGGAAAACGCACGTGGAACCCAGCGGGCACAAACTTTGGAATATCGCAACTCATCGGTTATGATACGCTGAACGTTACCATAACTCAGGTCCAACTCTGAGGCAATCTCACGCACGGTTACTCGTCGATCCCTTTGGATGATTTCTTCAACACGTGCCGTGTTGATATCTGCCCTTGAAGAACTTGGACGGCCACTCGCTTCCATACTGCGGTTTTCCACATGCTCCCTGCCCACTTGATAAGAACGATACCATTTTGCTACCTGTTGTCTACTCATTGATTTGTTCCCGTATACCTCAACAATTTATCTGTGAATTTCGGATGCTGCAACATTCTTGGCCCATAAGAATCGAATTACGGCTCACACCTCTATGCGAGACCACTTTTCTAGACGTCGTGCCATTACTGTCACTCTTAAGTGTCTGGTTACTGACGCTACTTACTCGTAGAACCGCTGTAGGACAACTAGCGCCATCTATCAACCACCCTGGGTGGAAATATTCGCTCCACAATTATTACATTTCAAATGCTTCTGCTTGTAAACGTTTTTTTTTTGAATCAACCTATGTACTAGTCTTTAAAGGTCCTTCAGTAAATTCAACCTTCTCCACGTCGTATGTGTCATTAGCAGTGTTGCCAACTCTCCCAATTTAGGCGGGAGACTCCCGATTTTCGACCGCTCTCCCGCCAACCCGATTTACAATATATTTCTCCCGACTTTTTCTTATTCTTAAAATTTCTCACGATTTTTATGGAATTTTGCTTAATACTTCATTATATGAACAAACAAAAAAAAAAAAAAAAAGTGATTTTGGACGTCTGAAAGCAATTAAATTTTCTCT